CCTGGTCCGAGAGCGATGGGTCGGGGTGGACGGCAGGCCTTCCGGTAGCTGCCTCTCCTCCTGCCCTTGCTCGGACTGTCAGGGGAACGTCGCAGCCCGTTTTTATAGGCCCGGGTCTGTCGGGAAAGTCGTCAGACGTGACAGACACAGCCAAGTGTGCTGATAAGGGCCGTGTCACACCGGCTGACTTCCAAGATCAGCACCTGCTGACGGCTGTGACATTCGTGGCTCAGGGAGATGCACGTTCAGGGACGGCCCGTCTCCGCGCCTCCTTATTCTCCTCTCCATCAACTTTGGCAGCGGTTTACATGTCCCTATAACTTTGGGCTCTCGACTTCACTCCTCAACGTGTACGCGTGCTGCACTGGCCCTCAGCTCACCCCAGGCCGTGCCCTCTCCCGCCCTCCCCCACCCCGGGTCCCCGTGGCCCCCTTCGGTAACTAGTGCATTTTTCATGAAGTCTACCCCTTGTTTGGCTGTGCTCTGCCAGTGTGTGTCTTTCTGTTATTTATATCCCCGTAACTGCCTTTCAATTCCTGACTTCGACTTCTCATAATCCACTCAAGGGATTATGAGGCCTCTGGGGTCCTCCCGCATGTTGGGTAACGGCTGAGTGGTATTCCGCGGAGGGCACAACTGCAGTTCTGATCTGCCACCTCCTGTCTCCACGGCACTTGGTCTGGTTGCTCACTAGGCAATTGTGGAGGAGCTGCTGTGAACACAGGAGAGCGTTCTCGTGTTCGAGTTTCATATTCCTGGGGTAAATACCCAGCAGAGGTATTGCTGGGTCATATGGCGCTCCCCTTCTAAAGTTCTGAAGACGCTCTACCACTTCCAGCCCCACTTCCAGAGGGGCTGCACCAAACTGCACTCCCAGCGATGGTGGCTGAGGGCTCTTTCCACACATCCTCCAGATGTGGCTGCTGCCACTCTTTCCAGAGGGGCCAGTCTCATGGGTGAGGTAGTTGCCCCTTGTGGGTCTGATTTGTGTTTCCCTACAACAGGTGATCTACAACTTTCTTGTGCCTGTAGAACCTCCGACTGTCTTCTTTAGAAAATGTCATTTGGGTCTGTGCCCATGATTTGATCGGGACCCCCACTTGGGGCGGATTACTCTCTGGGCCCCAGGTTCCCCCTGTTTCAGAGAAGGCCACATCCATTAGGTTCCTGCCACTAGAACTTTTCTGACGTTTTCCCTGTTGTGATTGTGCCCTGTGTCATCTTCCCAGGTACCAGATGCAACAGAGTGGACGGGGAGGTGATTTCGGGGATGGGGATGGCTGTGGCTGCTTCTGTGCCCCCTCAGCAGCATGAGAGTTGGGCAGGTCCCTGCCTCCCAGCAGGCCCAGCGGGTTGGCTGCAGGCCCCCAGCCCCAAGGCAGTCCTCATGTGTGAACCTCAACTAAGGAACCCCCTTAGGCATTACTGAAAGGTCAGATCTTTCCTCAGAGGCCAGAACCGAGGGTGTCACACATGGCAATAAGTAGAAGACAAAACCCAACTGTCCTGGTCTTATTTTTCTTGGACATCTGATGCAGTGGGAGTCATCTTTTGAGCAAAATAGGTGACACCTGGGTGGGTGCAGTCTGGACTTGGGTGCCTCCGGTGATTCTCTGGTCACGAGCCATAGCCCTATGGCAGAGGGCAGGAAGGGACATGTCCTGATACGACCACTGATGGGCCTCTTGGCTCCCGCCTCTTTGTCTCTCTCCTCCAAGCTCAGGAGGGAGCCAGCCACTGAATTGCACTAATCCAGGATCCACGTGAAGCTTTCTCCCAGATCTTCTATTCCACTGGGCACAAAGGCCTGCTTGTTCCCAAACCTTAAGTGATTTGACCTGCTGACTCTGGACGGTTAGGGCCCTTTGAAGACTCTTCAAGGCTGGATGTGGATTAGGCACATAGGAATCTGGGCCGGCGCCAGCCCTTAATGGCCTTGAAGATGTCTCAATAGAGGCGCTGAGCTTGGGTGTTCTGGTGACAACCTTCAGGAACTGACCTTCACAGTGTTCTTTAGTGACGCACACCCCAGGACTCCTTTGTGCTTCTGTGTGTGTTCTTGGTTCGGCGTCGACTCCAGGACCTCGACGATCACGTGTAGCCCTCAGTCCTTCCTTCCTCTCTCGGTGTCTCCACTCGCAACTGCCAGTCACAGGCCTCACCCGGGTCCCCTGCAGAGAAACGGTGTCCCTGACACTCTTACATGGCCTGTAAAATCTGCCTTAATTTCTGCTTCTCAGGGTCGTATCTGCCTTGAAATGTTCAGTGGAATGTGATTTATCCAAGGGGAAGAATCAGTTTCTCCAGGCCTCTGCAAGGCCTTCGGTGTGGGTCGCATCCGGTTGTGGATCCTGGTGCAGCACCCACTGGGGTGCGACTTGGGGTGTTACCTTTCTGCACCTTAGTTTCCTCATCCATACGTCGGAACAATTATACTTCTCACAGGGAGGCATTAGAATCACACGGGATGAATGATTCAGTTTGGCGTCACCTGCTTCCCAAGTGGTTATTCCTTCATTTTCCTTTTCCTCCCTTCTCTCTTCCCTTCCCTCACTTCCACTCCTCCGCTTTCTCTTTTTCCTTTTCTCCTCCCCATCCTCTTCCTCCTTTAATCAGTGTGGTATCAGGTATTTTCAGTGTTTCCTGGACCATTCCGTCAGATTTTATACCATGTGCCTAGACTTTCCTTATTTACACCTTGTTTGCAAGAAGAAAATATGGGTTTTTAGCTATGATTCCTTCCTGAAAAAAAAAAAAAAACGACAGTTTACAGTATTCTCATCGTGTGAAGGCACGTGTAAGACACACTTTAGCATCACTTTGAAGTTTTTGTTCTCAGTGGGAGCACAGACCTTCCTTGACTCATTCCACGACAAACATGCACATACCTGGACACTCACGTGTCAGCGTCACAAAAAGGCTCAGTGTTTGCTTCAAGACACGTTGCAGATCTCTGTCTTTTCCACCCAATTGCCCCACAGAGGTCTCTCTCTAGTGGGCCTGTGGTCTCCCTGGGGAAGGAAAGTCGAGTGTGTCTGTGCCAAAAGGAGTTTTCATTCCTTCTCAGAGGCGCAAGTGGTGATGGCACTTTATTTTTGCTGCTTTCCTTCTGAGTGTCTCTGCTACTCTGTCGTCCATTGGCTACAAGGGAGCATGCTTTTTGAAAAGGAAATAGTTGACTCTTCTGTAGACGCCCCTGGAAATAGAGGTGATGGGACACTGCATCGGGCACCCCTGGGCGTTTTCTGAGGATCTGACGGGATCGCAGATGTGCTCGCCAGCAGGCAAACGTGAGATGTCCTGTTAAAGTCCTAGCAGGGCATCCACGGATGATGGGACGGTTTTCTCCTGGCCATATCATTCCTGCCCAGAGGCAAGCCAAGGCTGGCCCAGCTTTCTTCAAGGCCCCGGGGATGTCTCTCTATTCCACCTTTTTGTATTCAGCACAGTCATGTATTGCTTACACGACACTTAGTCAGTGATGGGCACATATCTGATGACCGCCCTATAGTCTACGCCAGCCAGCCTGGGTGTTGGGTGGGCTGGACCAGCCAGCCCGGGTGTGGGGTGGGCCAGACCAGGCAGCCCTGTGTGGGGTGGGCCAGATCACCTGGTCTTGTAAGTGTACAGATACTCCAATGTTCAATGACAAGTTCACCTAACACAGCATTTCTCAGAACCCATTCCTGTGGTTTAGTGATACAGTGTGTCTACCCTGTGCCTGCCACGCACTCACACACAGGTGGGAAATCAGGGTTTGGGCTAAGGATTCAGGTCTCCTCTGGGAACCTGTGTCTGGCCTCCACCTTAACATCTGTATGTGGTGCATACCCCAAGGCCAGCGTGGTCCTGCCCGCTAGCTCAAAGGTCTCTCTGGGGGCTGCCTGTTGGGAACTTTTTTCCTTCAAGGCTGGGCATTGTAAAATGGGTTAGGGAGTCAAATAAAGAATCTACAGCATGATTCACTCTGGGCTCAACCCCTACTACAAGATAGCGAACTCACAGCTGGTCCACGAGAAGTCTTCTGTGATTCAGGCTGCGTGTGGAGAACTGGTCTCCAGAAGGGCCTCCCTGACAACCACTTCAGCTCCAGGGGCCACCCGGGCCACCCAGTGCCTACTGCTTGTCCCTCCAAGACAGTGACTTTAACACTCCATCCTGCCTGACCTAGGGATTCTTCAGAATTCAGTTTCTGTTCACTTGTCTTTTGGGGGGCCAGTTCTGACTTGCTGTGAGTTTTGGCAAGTGCCCAGTTGTGGGAAGAAACATCTGGTTTCTTTGCGATCTCTACCCTTGGCAACCAGGGAGTGATTTATATTTCTGACTGCAAAGCCCTCTGGTGCCCAGCCTTTCACTGCTTGTTGTCCTGCTCTCCTGGGTCTCGTGGGGCTGGGACGTTGGTGGGGAGGGCTTTGGTTCTCGTCCTTGTTAGCACTGATCTCAGCACTTGAAAAGTCACCATGGGGCTGACCACACCTTCTGGGACCAGGACCGTCTGAGGTGGGGCTGCCCCATAGCCACCCAGCTGGACCCGCTCCCAGCTTGGAGATCTGGCTGCTGCCTTTACCCTCTTTCCTCGGCACTGAGGCCCTCCCAAATATCTCTGGGTTCATGGGGCCCCTCTGTTTTGCCATCTTCTTTCTCCTTTTCAAGCAGGGAATCTTGTGTGCGCACGTGTGTGTGTGTGTGTGTGTGTGTGTGCGTGCGTGTGCTGGTGCGGATACATTTGCCATGTTCTTTCTCTGCACCAACCCTGCTGGAACTTGGCTTTTGAAGCTCCAGCCCTTTCTCCATTTTCTGAGGAGGCTCCCTCTCCTGAGACTCTAGTTCTGCATAAAGAATCTTGTCAGAGGGTGCACAGGAAAGCGAGAACTAAGGGAATTGTTCCTTTAAACATTTCAAGCAGCCCTGCCCCCTCTCGGAGCCCCTTAGCAAACTTGAGTCCAGACTCCTCTCAATCAAGAGTCATGTTTATTTAAAGTGTTTTTTTTTCCAATTTTTAAAATATTTTATTAAAGTGGGTTTTTCACCATGTCTGTGGCCACGCGTGGGCTCTCAAGCATCTGGAGGCTTGTCGCTGAGGGGAGAGGCCGCCTTGGGAAGAACCAGCTATTCCTCTGGGACAGTCAGCAGCATGGACTCCTGTGGATAGAAGCAGGGAGGCACACAGAGAAACAGAGAGGTTCTGTCTGATTCTTTCTCTCTGATTTGGGGGAGATCCCTTCCCAGAATGGGAATCTTTCAAAGGCAGGAAACGAAGCAATCAATGGCATCTCTAAGTTCTGCCCCATCCACCAACTCCTAACAGCCTCTTCTTAGGCTCATCCCACTGAGGGTCGGTAAGAGGGCCAAGAAGGCAGCAAATTCTCCTGATTCCTCTGCTTGTTTTGTTTGTGGCCACATCTTCCCTCCCTGGTATTCAGCCAGAATGGGATCTGCCCTGGCTCCCACCCTCTGGGGGTTCACAGATGGCAGGTACCACAGGCAATAGCCCCTGTTCTGGGATTTGGACACAGTGTGTGGAGTTTTAGTGTGGTGGGTGGGTAAGTGTTCAGCCTTTGACATCAGATGAATCCCAGTTGGCATCTGGTTCTGCCACCATGGGCAAGTGTCCCTGAGCCTTTTCTGAAAGCTCCTTTCCCCAGCATTTACCTTGGAGAACTCCATTTGGGCCTTGTTGAAAGAGATGCCTTTGATATTGGGCAGTGGGAGGTCTTGTTCTCTGAGTAGCTCTGCAAGAGAGGTTGGGGAGGAGTTCAGAGCCCTGTGGGCAAAGGAGTCTGTGGTGTAGGGCTGGGAAGCAGTTTGGGGCCAGGCCAACTGACCCTGACCTTTGACTGTTCCACTGCCCAGAACAGAGAAGGGACTGGGTGTGCCCTCTTCTTCCCATCCCTTCCTCAGGGGGCACCATCTCATCCCCCATCAAGCCACTCCACTCCAGAAAGCCAGGTCTCCACCTGTCTGTTTCACCTATCAATTAAAAATCTATCTTACAGATATTCAGTAAGTAGGAACACACTTTTATGAAGACAGATCTCTTAGCAGCATTTTGAGTGTTCAGCTTGCTGAAGGCTTCTTATGAATCTCTTAATGAATTTTATTCTTGTAATTTTGTTTTTTTGAAAATGCTATCTGTGCCTAAAAACACTAAAATGTTTGCAGACCAGAAAATGTCTCAGGCAAGGATTAGAAGGAAATTGATATGAACTGAAAAGTTAACCTTAGAGCACCAGAAAGGTGTACTCATAAGGAAATAGTCATTAAATATATTGAAGAAGAAATATACTCAGTGATCAAATATATGAAAAAGAGTCTTAATGCAAGCATTTGGTAAACTGATCAATGTGGTTAACTTGGAGAATTGGTCATTTTGCAAGCTGAGTTTCAATGAATTAATTGTGGCCCCTTAGTTTTTGGCAAATGGAGTTTCTGAGATTGACCTTGAGGACCTGGCCTGGGCCTTCCTGTTCTCTCCTCTGCACTGACTAGGCTTTTATGAATCTCTACCCTGCCAGTTCTCTCACCCTCAAGCCACTTCTTCCAGGTAGCTTTCCTGGATTTCTACAGCAGCTTTGACTCTTTTGTTCCTAGTAAGTGAGATTTGGACAGGACTCTAGTGTGACTAACATCCCCTGGTGGTGTGTATCCCCAGCTGTCAGGTGAGGTGCAAGGCAAGGGAGCCAGTGAGTTCTGTGGAGCAGAGGATCCTGACTAGGCTCCATGGAACTCCCTGCCCACTCTTCTCTGGCTTTCCAGGACCACCTCCCGAGAAATGACTGTACTCCTTTATTTCAATTTCTGCTTCTGGGGGAGCCCAAACTAAGACAGCAGTAGTTTGGATACATTTGCATTTGTTTTTCATGCTTAGAGGGGGGTGATAGCTCAAAGAAATTCAGCTTTCTGACATCTCTCAAACATAAAAAATAGCTGCCCTGTGCAACATTTGATTGAGCTGAGTGTGTGAAGCCCACTTTGTTCAGCACCTGGAGGTTTTAGGCCCCCTTGGGCGGCTCCTTAGGGCAGGTTACCTCCTGGCCCCTGCAGGCTTTGGAGCCCTGAACTGCGAGCTCCACCATCTGTGAGGTCCCTGCCTGTTCTCACTTTCTACTTTCCACTACCCCAGCAGAAGCCTTTCCCAGGCTCTTGCCCTACTTCTGAGCTTCTCTCACCACTTGCTGCTGGTGGGGAGGACAGGACTGCAGACAGGGCACTTTCCCTGCACTCCTCATCCACCACACCCCAGACTTCAGTCTCCAGCCTGCCTCTTTCTGCTTTGCCTTGGGTAATTCTTAACCCACCCTGGGGACAAGGTGGAAACCAGCTGCTGCTGTGTGGGCAGAGGAGAAGAACATGTGCTCACCATTGTAGTGAGGACAAAACTTGCCCTGCAGAAGCTCTGAGACAAGGGCCTCTAGATGTGTTTCCTGAAACAGATGAAAGAGGGACAGGAAGGTCACTTCTGTTCACAGGAATGGGGGACCCCTAATGTTCAGGGGTAGTCCTGGGAGCTCCTCTTTGAAAGGGCAAGGGAGCCAATGTGAAGGGACATTTGTGAAGGGACTAGAAAAAGTTGAGGGACCTGAAAGAGTCACCCTCACCTCAGGTTGCAATGACTATGTTAATTGGCTGGGCCAGAGCTTCACAGCACCTGAACTTTGGGTCAGTCCAAGGAGTTGCTCTCCGATACTGAGAACAGCCTGATAATGGGGCAGGAATTGTCTCAAGAGGTAGCAAGTCTCCTGTGACCAGGGTGATTCAAAGGTCTTTGTCAGGCCTGCCCCAGCCTATTTGGACAGACTGGGGAAAACTTCAATCAACTCTTTCCCCAATATAGCATATGTGGGTCGCTTGAACAGTGCACAACCCGTGCAACTGTATGCACAGCAGTCCTGGTCTGATCACATGCTATGGAAGAAATCTCTGACCTGGGCAGATAATCCTTAGGACCTCTAAACTCAGGGATTTGATGCAAGGAAAACCAGCTCCACGACTGCATCTGACAGGGGTGATAATTTTAAAGCATTTCCCGGTGCCTGTTTTTATTCAGCCCTTTTGTTTTGTGTCTTTTCACCTCTCAGCCTTTCTTCACTGGGAGGGGCTCCTACCATACTGGTGGGCATGGAGGCTTCAGGGCAAGAAATGGAAGAAAGAAAGAGACTCACCTGCCTTGTGAGTGCAGGGTTAGGACCGAGGATGATCTTGGTGCTACCAGAGAAAAAGAGATTACGCTTTCAGGTGGTGGCAGCTGCTTGGGGTGCAGCAGGCACAGCAACCCCTTAA